GTGGAGCTCACCAAACGATCCTTTGCTCCCCCACGTTCTCTAGTCCCTGGCAGTTCCCAGGGCCCTGTCACGGTGTGGTCACAAAATGTGAGCAGGAATCACACTGTTCCTGAGGTGACAAGTGGAATCCACACGTGGTGCTCCTGGCCCCCTGGCCTCTGTGGGGCCGAGAGCCGGTGAGAACATGTGGGTTCCGTGGGGCGCAGCTGCGAGGTGGTGGAGCCTCCACCCCGATGCCAGGACCCCGCCCTCCCTGTGTCAGGGGACACGTGCCATGGGACAGACACACCCTGTTCTAAGACCCCAGGTGTTGTCATGGTTACCGCAGCACTGCCCAGCCCAGCCTGACAGCTACTCTGCCTAGAAAGAGGGAAGAGACCAGCTTTGTTATTGTCCCAGTGATTCCTGCTGTGAGCCCTGCTACCCCAGACTTAGGGCCTAAATCACCCCCATGTGCAGTGTCAGGGTTTCTGTGATCAGGACCCCCCTGTTCTGCAGGCTCCTCTGGCTCGGGGTCTCTCAGACAGAAACCAAGACCTTGGCTGGGGCTTGAGGGTCAGGGGAGGGGTCTGCTGCCAGCTCATCACGGTTGCTGGTGGCATGCACTCCTTGTGGCTGCTGGCCCAGGTCCCTGCCCCTTCCCTGTGGTGGCACAAGGCTGTTCCCAGCTCTGTGGCACTCCATTCCTTATAAGCCAGTCCCAGGTGTGGTCATAGTCCAGGGGAGGAGTCACACAGAGTGACCACGAGGGAGGACGGAGACACTCTAGAAGCTGCTTCCTACAGATGCGCTTCTCACTGACGGGAGATGTCCTGGGCATCTCAGTCCATGATGTCGTTACCTCACCTGTCACCGTGAGGCAGGGAGGGGTCTGCAGGTCTGCAGGTGGCCGAGTGGCCTGCCCAGGGCTGCACCCACTACAGCAGGACTTGATTCCGAATGTTCACATTCGCTGCCCCAGGCTGCCTCCCGAGACCCCAGGGACAGCCCTGGTGACTTCCCCGGAAGACGGGTGGTGTGGTTCTTCCTTCATCCCTCACATCTCCCTTTTCCAATGCCCTAGGCGTCTGCGGCACTGGGCCCCTGAGTTCTGGAGGTGCGGATTCCAGAGCCCACGTCTCTCTGAAGAGGGTCCGAGGAGGCTCCGTGTTGTTCCACGTGACTCAGGAGATGGAAGGAGACGCAGAAGCTCAGCTGGAGGAGATGGCGTGGGGCTTTGGCCCGGACACCAACTACAGAGTCCTGCTGCGAGTGGTCAGCGGTGGGGACTTGCCAACCTTGATCAGCCACCAGGACAAGTACAGGCACAGGGTCCATGTGCCCAATATGACGTCCCTGCTTATTGAGAACCTGACCTGTGAGGACAGTGGGCAGTACCGGGCTCGAGCCAGCTTCACCGGAGGAAGGGGATTTACCCAGGTGTTCCAGCTCACTGTCTACGGTAGGTGACACCTCTCACCCCCTCCCAGGGCCACCACCTTTTCTGGTCCCCACAAGTGTCACATAGGCCCTCTTTCAGGGACTCCTTCCGGACCACAGCCTTCAGTCTCTCTTAGCTCCGGGGAAGTAAGGTGAGTGAGCTCAGCACCAGTGCAGAGCAAACCTGACACTCACACCTGAGCTAGAGTCACTGCAGTGTTTGGGACAGGAAGACAGAACCAGGGAGGGGATGGGATTATCGCCACAACACTTCTGCCTCTTTAGAGGAATCAGTGCAGCCATATGTCATCGGTAGGATAGTTTCCTGTGCTGCTGTCACAAAGTACGACAGCTCTGTGCTAAGATCCACACAAACTCATTATCTCACCGCCATAGGTGAGAGGTCACACACTGAGCGGGGAGCAGGGTGTCGGCAGGACTGGTGCCCTTCTGCGGGCTCTGGGGACCCAACACTGCCCTCCCCGCCTCCCAGGGGCACCCGCGTCCCTGCATGGGGGCCAACCTCCCCGCCTCCCAGGCCAGCAGTGTTGGGTCTCGACCTCCTCACACTGCCGCCCTCTGAACCCTCTCCTTCCGTTTCCACTTTGAAGGACCTGAGCTCACACGGATCCCACCCAGACTCTCCCCAAGAACCTCCTTATTGTCCTGCAGTTGATTAGCAATGGTAATTCTGCTCCCTTATTCTCCTTGCGAGTCATCTAACGTGCTCACAGGATTTCACAGTTACCACGTGGACATTGTGGGGGCCGCTGCTCCGCCCACCACAGTCTGGAAACCCACGTGTAGGCAGGTTTCCCCTGCCCCACCCGCGCTCACCCAGCACCTGGCCGAGGGCTGACTCACCGACACCCCACACATCCAGCTCGGAAAGCCTCCGGACATGCCGGGGACAGGTCACACGGCCACACTTCTTAGGCTCATCAGGCCACTTCTTTCCTTCCCTAGAGAACCTCTCTGCATAGGGCATGTCCTGCTGCAGCCAGTGG